AAAGCCAGAACTGCTAACTAGTGGGCTGGGAATGTATATCAGCTCCTCAGTCTCTCTCGCCTTCTCAACTGCAGGCAGGTAAGGGCAGAAGGACGTAGCTTCCTGTTTAGGCAAAGGCTGAGAGGTTGGAGAACACTGTGTCCTTGATCCTGAAGAATCAGACCCATTTTTGGTGCCCACAAGGGAGTTAGGAACACTGACGAGTCAGTTCTCCATCTATTCAGCCACATGCTTTGTGTAGGCTGGGATTACTGTGTACACTGTGGACAGGCACAGAACATCCAGTCACCTGTGTCCATGCAAATAAGGGAACCAAGGCCAGGGAAAGCTGGTCATGGCCTGATTCTCTCATGCCAGGGCAAGTCCCAAATTTCTTGAATGGCCCATTCGGGGCTGGAGGAACTTCCCCCATCTTTTCTTCCTGGTCCAGTGGGAAACATGGTAGAGGAACATTTCCTCAGTTTCATAGTTCTAGCCTAACCTTAACCACCCTTTGGAGATGAAGAAAAAGAAGTATTCCATTGTTGTCAAGTCCTGGAGCAGATCAGGAGGGTTCTGGCTAAGCTGGTTAAAGAAAACTCAGAGACAGCTGCTAGAAAGAGAAGTTCCCACTGAATCCTGCCTCACGCCTGAAGGAACCACTCTGAAGGAACCACTCCAAAGAAACTAGAGGCCTCCACTAGACAAAAAAAAAATCACAAAAGTATGTTTTAGTCCATCCAGGCTGCTATAACAAAACGCCACAAACTGGGTGGCTTATAATCAGCAGAAATCTATTTCTCACATTTCTGGACGCTGAAAGTCTGAGATTAGGATGCAAGCGTGGTCAGGTCGGGGCTCTCTTCCTGCTGTATATTCACACAGGGGAAGGGGGAACGAGCTCTCTGGGGCCTCTGAGGGGTCTCTTTTGTAAGAGCACTACCCTATCCAGGAAAGCCCCACCCCATGACCTCACCACCTCCCAAAGGCACCGTCTCCTAATACCATTATACTGGGCTTTAGGATTCCAACATATGAGTTTTATGGAGACACAAACATCCAGATCATAGCAAAGTACTAGAAGAAAATATGAAATTCAAAAAATTATCTCAGAGAGAAGGCCTGCCTAAGTAGCACACAAAACCTAGAAGCCACAGAACACAAGATGATACATTTGAGTACACAAAAATTTTAAAAATTTTAGATGGCAGAAATCCCTCTAAACAAAGTCAAAAATCAAATGGTACACTAGGAAAGTATCAGCAATGCATATTACAGAAAAAGCATTAATTTCCTTAACATATCAAGACTTCCTACAAACCAGTAAGAAATGTACCAAAAAATCCAGTAGAAAAATGGTAGAAATGAACAGAAAATTCACAGAAAAGGAAGAATTGATTCCTAAATATTGGGAAAAGATGCTCAATTTCACTCATCAGAAGGGATATGCAAACACAAAAGAGATACTAGGGGGGTGGTGTAGCTCAAGTGGTAGAGTGCATGCTCTCTACAAGGTCCTGGGTTCAATCCCCAGTACCTCCTCAAAAAATAAACAGATAAATAAACCTAATTACCCCCTAAAAAAATAGATACTGATTTTTACCTAACAGATTGGCAAAAAGCAAAATGTCTAAGAACACTGTGTTCTTAAGGGTCTGAGGACTCTCCTACATTCTCATGCTCCACATTCTCTTAGTAGGAGTATAAACTGGAGCAACTTCTAAGGAATATTTTGGCAACACCTATCAAAAAAATTAAATGCATGTATCCTTCCCCGCAAGAGCTGAAGGGCTCTACCAGATGGGTGTTTGAGGTGGCGGAGAGAATGGTATAGGGCAAGGGAGGAGAAGGTTAATTTAGTAAGTCCACTAGAGTTTGAACACTGGCTCTGCACCTGACTCTGTTGCATGTGAAGCAGGAGGGATGCAACAAAGTATCAGAGCGTCTGTGGCCTGGAAAAGCTCCGTGAGACTGGCTGGAGACAGATGTGTGAGCGAACTGTGGGAGTGGAGCACGTCCTAGTGCAGCGGTCTTCAGGGAAGATACTGTAGAGGGCTGGTTCCCATCTCTGCAGGAAGCTTCGTGTCATCAGCATGGCCACCATCACTGGGAGTGTGGGCTGGGCCCTGAGTGCCCTCTTCCTAAGGAGGGCCTGTGATGCAGGGATGCTAGAAGGTGCTGGGCTTTCGAACATTCACAGCAGTGCTTCCGCTTCTCATCTTAAGTCTATAGTGTTTCAAGCACATTGTAGATAATGTTAAGGGTTTGCTGCGAGCAATCCATTCATCCACAGGAAAGTGTGTTCCAAGTTCTAAGTCAACGAATCTTTGGAACATGACTCCTTTGCTAGCAAATCAGATACTTGCAGCAGCTGGAGCCCAGCGAAGTCCGTTTAAGTACTTTGAGGGCCTGAACCATCGCTGGGCCAGACATGATGTGGGAGAAACTCCTTGGGTCTTTCATGCAAAGCCGGAGAGGTCCCTGCCCCAAAGGTTCCAGTCCTGCCCTCAAGCTACCCGATTTATCTCACCTGGCTGAGACTCAGGTGGGAGGGATCAGGAGGACTCAGCACCTTGGAGGTCAGGAACAAGAGCAAGGCACCTCAGGGTCCCCTTCAGCTGGGTCCTTGGTGCTGGGACCTCGTGCTTTCAGGAGATGGGAGCCGACAAATGGACAATAGAACATCATAGTGGCAGAAACAGCCTCAGGGCTGGAAACAGACACTGTAATCACAGGAGAAAAAACTCACAACAAACTCCAAAATCTGACCCTTATGATCTCTGGACCAGGGAGGGGCAGGAAGGGGAAGACTTGCCCTATCCTGGTGAAAACAGGGCAACAGGAAGAACACTGTGCAGTCAGGCTGAAATTTAAACAGATGTGAGTTTCTTTAATTCAAAGGCTTAATTATTCTGACATCTTCCTTAACTTAATCTGAGCCATCACTTCAGCTTTAATTATGCATAATGAAATGGATTATTTACAGCAACTAATATGACAGGAAAAACTGAGAGGTGAGAATTGGTAACTTGGCAACTATTTATTCATCTTTTTTTTTTAGCCCATGTTTTTTGACTACCTACTGTGTCTCAGCCTTTGCCACAGTAGTATAGATGTCTTATTCGGGAAAAAAAAATACTAGAGTACAGATTAGGGACCAGTTTCTTTCACTTCGTTATCTCATGTACTGCTTGCAATAATACTGCATCACAGGTATCTTCTCCCTGATTGACAGAAGCAGAACTGAGATTCTGAAAGAATAGGTAATTTGCCTAAAGTCACATAGCAAAACTCATGTTTTCTGCCATTTACCTATTTCATACAGAAACCTACAGACTCACATTCTGAATCTTTACTTCCTGTTTCATACAGGAGGCATCAACTTTTCCCGAGGCAATAGTGAGTGATCAGAATTGTACTTTTGGGAAATTAACCTGACGGCTTCCTGTAGGTCGCGGGGAGTGCTATGAGACAGTCCAGGTCAGAGGCCAGGACCTAAGCCCGAGTGGTGGCAGCTGGCCTGCAGAGAGAGAGGCTGCAGGGGGCAGTGTAGAGGCTAGAGGAGGGTTTGGTGAAGGTTTGGATGTGATGGGCAAGTCGCCCTCTCTGAGCCTTAGTTTCCTTGTGCCGGGAAGGGGCTTTAACCAGTGTATTTAGCAGTCCCAATTCAGGGGCAGATACACAGAAATGGTTTTATGTCGCTTCTGGTCATTGTTTTTAATCTGCCTCTGTTCCATCTCCCTTTCTTGTCCCTTAACAGTTTGCGTCCAGGTGACTGTCAGTTACTCATTGTCCTTGATAGTTTTCACAACTTCCATTTCAAACTTGACTTGAATCTCATTTTCCTGCCTCTCCCCTGCTCCAGAGTTGGAGCCTGTGTGTGGGACTGTGTTCCGGCTCCCTGGCTCTGGGGAGGAAGGTGGGGAGGAGGGGGAGGAAAGGGGTCAGTGATGCGTCCTAGCTGGCCCTCACTGCCGTCTCCCTCCATTGGTGGAGGCAGCTCTCTGGTGTCACACAGACTAAGTGGCCAGGGGTGACCTCTGTGTATCCAAGTGCTGGTTCACTGGCGGGGCATAGGTGGTCTTCAGAGCACCCATGGGTTTCCTGTGGCTTACATCCCTGGTGCGAAGGATCCAGCTCAATGCCCACCCACCCTCTCCTGCCACCAGCCTTGGGCTGCTGGACGCCGCTCTCCCAGAGTGAAAGGAGCAGGAGACAGTGTCCGAGTCCCACTTTCTCCCTCTGTGTCCACTACTCTTCCCACTGCACCACGTTGAGGGGACATCCTGCCCCACCGCTGTCCTTCCTCTGCACCGCCATCACTCCCCGTCTGAGTGGAGGCTGGACTCCAGGTGTGTTTCACCCACCAGACCTTGTAACCTGGCCCAGGGCTGCATGGGACATGAAAGCACTACGCAGGGTGATGCCTGGCCCCAGGGGATGGGCCACATGGCTCCCGCGTCAGCAGAAGCCTCCTCCAACAATCTTCCTCCACAGGCTTCTTCAAGGGCTGGAGGGGTGGTGGATGGAATCAAAGGGCAGTGACCATGGCCACAGGTCAGCCTTGAGGAGGGGTCTGGTTCCCAGCTCCTGGCTCCTCTCTTTAGAATGACTGCTTTAGTCTCCAGCTCCAAGTCCTATTCATCACTTCAGGACAGCAGAAAAAATCCTCCTTTCTTCACTCCTGCTTCCAAGTGACTGAGTGCCTGGTGACAGGGCAACCGAGCCCACCCTGGGTGACTAGGCTTATGTCCAGCTTTTACCATCATCTCAGTGTCTCCATTCTTTCTATGCTCTTTTGACTTCTCTTCTGAGGCTCTCTGTGGAGACACCTGGTGGGTGTGGACTTTTAAGATGAACCGAGTGGATCAGGGCTGGGTGCCTGGCCTCTGGGTACTACACGGTCACAGAAGCAGGTAATCAAAGAACAAACAGTCCTGGGGTGTTTGGAATCTCCCTTAGTTACAGCAAAGCCTCTGTTTGATTTTTCACATGGCAACAAAACAAGGAGGGGAAGATGAGTGGCACCTCGAATAGACATGCGGTGAAAGTAGGGATTCAGCCCCTGGATGACGTGCTGGAAGCCACACAGAGGTGAAATATCAAAGATGCAGGCGGCGGTCCTCTCCCTGGTTCTCCTGGGCGCCCTGTCAGGTGGGAACTCCGCTTTACCCCTTTGGTTGGCCTACTCAGTTTGGTTGATATCATTGTGTAATAAAGTCCCAAAAGAGGAAATTGCCTCTGGGAGGCCTTATTCAAGTGTGGGCTTATCAGCAACAGGGAGCCCTGGGAGGCTGGGGTGGGGTGTCTGGAGAAGAGGGTACGTAAAGTGGCCACAATCTGATCAGACTTTGCACAGACTTCACTTCCCCTTCTGTGTTAACTGGCCTGTACTGGAGGTCCTTCCAAGACCTAAGGTTGGGAAAATAATTTCCATAGCAGGGCTTTGTATGTACGTCAGTCAGTCTTTGTGAAGATTCTGGCCCAACTCTGGAGGCTTCTGGGGGCAAACTGAGATTGGCAAATCACCCTATGGGAAAACTGAGGCACCGAGGGGCTAGTGTCTTCATCTTGAGCAAAGAAAATGCCTTCTGATAGAAGCCAGAGATTCGGCCTCGTGCTTCTGCACTCCTGCTTCCTTATTCAAGAGCCTCAAGAATCCTGGATGATTTTTCAGTGTTGTCAGCTTGGATTATTGAAATTGAGCTTTTTAAATTAAATCTTATTTTTGAATAGGTAGTATATGCATAATGTATAGAATTCAATCATGTTAAATTTGCAGATTAATTCAGGGATAATTTACATCTTTGATGAGTTATGTAGTAAAATGCTTAGAGGAGTGTCTGGTACGTAGTAAGTGCTTAGTAAATGTCAGTGATTATTATGTATCATGTTGAGTCTTCCTATCCAAGAACAGGGTTCTAGATACTTGTTCAGGCCTTCATTTGTTTTCTCAGGAGTATTTTCAGATTTCCTTCATATAGATCTTGCACATTCTGATTATGTTTATCTCTAGTTCTTTCTTTCACTTTTTTTTTTGCATTTGTAAATGAAATCTTCTCTTCCCTTGTATCTTTTTTTTAAATTGAAGGATAGTCAGTTTACATTGTTGTGTTAATTTCTGATGTACAACATAGTGATTCAGTTATACATATATATATCTTTTCATGGTCTTTTTTATGATAGGCTATTGCAAGGTATTGAATATAGTTCCCTATGCTATACAGTAGGACCTTGCTGTTTATCTATTTTATATGTAGTAGTTAGTTCTTTTGTAGCTTTTAACTAATTGTTATATAATGTATGGAAGTCTATTCATGAATTATCTTATTATTTGTAATGATGTTTCAGTCAATCTTCATGCATTTTCTAGGTTTGAAAATAATAAACTTTTGTACTTTTCCTTGCTTTAAAAAAATCTCTTACTTCTTTCTCTTATCTAATTACCAGGCCTGTACTTTCAGACAGTTGTTAAATAATGATAAGACTGTACATTCTTGTCTTGTTCTCCATGAAGCAGGTTAGCTTTTGGTATGAGATAGAAATTTTTATATGTTAAGGAGATAGCTTTTATTCTTATTCAGGTATGTGTTTTTAAATCAAAATGGATTTTTAAATCAAATGCTTTTTCAAGATCTATGAAAATGACTATTTGATTTTCCTCTGTGATCTGCTAATTAGATAAATAAATAATGGGTTTCCTAATCATATTGAACTCTCTTTAATCTTGAGTTTTTAATACTGACAGGTATATATAGAATAGATAGACAAGTTTATACTGTATAGCACAGGGAAATATATATAAGATCTTATATAGTAGCTCATGGTGAAAAAGAATATGAAAATGAATATATGTAAATTCATGTATGACTGAAAAATTGTGCTGTACACCAGAAATTGACACAACATTGTAAACTGACTATAATTCAATAAGATTAAAAAAAAACAGTAAAACAAAAATCTTGGGATTTTAGACTTGGCAGAGGGCAGGAGGACTGTGAGTATGAAGTTGGACCTTGAGCAGCTCAGACTCTCACTTGAAGTAAACATTTGAGGTTTTCCCAGAAATACAGGCTTTTAGGACCATAATCATTTGAGTTAAGAGGTGACATTTATTATCACTGGGGGAAGAGTGAGGTTAGAAAGAACCCAACATCTCACACTGAAACACTACCATTTGGAACCTTCTCAACAGACATGTGAAAGGGACAGATCACAAAAGTTTGCAAGAAATACTTGAGATTTTTTTTTTAATAAAAAACACATTCCAACCCCTCCCCCTCCAAAAGACCATGCACTACGGACCACACTTTTACTGCCACACCAGTACCTGCCTTCAGGGGGTTTGGAAACAAGCATCACCAAAATAATCTCAAAGTAACATTCTCCAGCATCCTTCTTCCTCTCATCTGGTCTGACTCCTATGCATCCTTTAAGGCCTAGTCAAGCCCCACCTCCCACACGAAGCCTTCCCAGATTGCTGTATCTCTTGGTGGGCACTCTGCCTGCTGCATCCTGGAGCTCCTCCTGCCTGCACATGGAATACATGTCAAGGGCTTAGTCCAGTGCCTATCACAGAGTAAGTGCTCAGTGAAGAATAGCATGAGTTATTGCACCATAATTCATCTGCTATGTGTCTGTCCTGCAGTAACAGGCTTCATATTTCTTATTGCTCTGTGGTCCCTGAGTGCCAACGCATACAGAGTTGGTCCCTGACTGACAACGCATACAGAGTTTCCAATAAACTTTGGTTTTGTTGATCATAATCCCTTTGGGGGCCTCTTTTCTTCACACATTTACTAACATCCCCTAAATGCAGAAATTTAGATCCTCTGTCAGCTTAACATTGGCATTTAAATTAGCTTCTGTCTTTTCTACCTCCTACTAAGATGAGGGAAATAAAACATTTTCTCTTTGGGATGCTAAACTGTCCCATGCCAACAATGACTTACAGAGGAAGGCCCTCAAAAAACATTAACTTCACAAAACTCCCAACTGTAGCGGGGAAAGGAGTTGAGACAAAACAATCTCCAATTTCATCAGAGGCCCACGTGTCATTTGTGGGAGACAGAGGACTTAGCAAAGGCCCCTCATTATACTGAAATCCACTGCACACTGAAGTTGTCTCCATTTTGAGAAAGTCTCAAGGGAACTAACTTTTGTATGAGTCTCGTGGAAATGAAAAATGCCAGGGTGTTTAATGAAAGAAGGGATCCTTAGTAGTTGGAAGATCTGCGTGAACATGAAAAAGGGACCAGGCCCACTGACCTGAGTTTCGTCCACTGAGCACCAGGTACGAGGCCATCTTGGGTCTCTCTAGGAAGATCCCCAATCCTGTCATCCAGGCCTGGCTCTCTGCTAAGCAGTGTCGGCAAACCAAAAAGAGACCCAGCAAATTGAAACTACAATGAGGCAGCACCTCACACCAGTCAGAATGGCCATCATTAAAAAGTCCAAAAATGATAATTGCTAGAGAGGGTGTGGAGAAAAGGGAACCCTTTTACACTGTTGGTAGGAATGCAAATTGGTGCAGCCACTATGGAAAACAGCATGGAGATTCCTTTAAAAACTAAAAATAGACTTACCATATGATCCAGCAATCCCACTCCTGGGCATATATCCACAGAAAACTCTAATTTGAAGAGATACATGCACCCCAATGTTCACAGCAGCACTATTTAAAATAGCCAAGACATGGAAGCAATCTAAATGTCCATCAACAGATGTCTGGATAAAGAAAATGTAATATATACATACAGTGGACCATAACTCAGCCATAAAAAAGAATGAAATCATGCCATTTGCAGCAACATGGCTGGACCTAGAAATTATCATATTGAGTGAAGTAAGTCAGGCAGAGAAAGACAAATATCATATTAGATCTCTTATATGTGGAATCTAAAAAAAATGACACAAATGGACTTATTTATAAAACAGAAAGAGACTGTCACAGACATAGAAACTTTCACTTTCTAAAAGAGACTAAAGGGGAAAGTTGGGGGGAGAGATAAATTAGGAGTTTGGGATTGGCAGATGCAAACTACTATATATAAAATAGGTAAACAACAAGGACCTACTGTACAGCACAGGGAACTATATTCAATATCTTGCAATAACCTATAATGAAAAATAATACGAAAAAGAATATGTATGTATATGTATAATTGAATCACTATGCTGTACACCAGAAACTAACACAATATTGTAAATCAACTATACTTCAATTTAAAAAAAAAAAAGAAAAAAATGGATCCCACTGAAGGGGAAAAAAAAGAGGCCCAAGGCTCAGTGTCTCCTGCTCCTTGAGGAACCAGGTGCAGCCCCTTCTTAATGCTCTCATCATTTGAAAAGGCAGGAAGATGTAGGCCATTTCCAGAAAGTCTTTCTGTGGGTGTTAATCCCACATATGGGATCCAAACAATATTGCCAAAAGTTTCTACTCTTTCTATCCTGTTCAGAGTCAACCTCAGAAAAGCAGAAGTCCACCCGCCTCACAGCCCTCCCTCTTCCTTTTCCATGGCAACCTGGTTGTTTCCCTTTCCCCTGCAGCTTAGCACTCAGTCACTGGCATCCACCTGCTTTTCCATCTCCATGGGGTTGGAAAAGGTTTGCAAGAAGCCAGTCCTTCTCAGGTCAGCACCTGAGTGCTGCTCTAAGATGAACACATCTCTCTCCTGCTAATAAGGACTTCATGAAATGTGCAGAATCATCAGAAGATCACCATCTTTCCTTCTGTGTCCTACTAAGGGCTCCCTTCCATTAGCCTTGCCTGACATGGACCAGCTCCCCAAAGTGGGTGGGTGAGCATCCCATCCCGGAAGGTATACATTGTGGAAATTAAAGACAGTAAGACATTGCACACACTGAAACAACAACATTCTACAATGTTTTATAGAGTATTGAGCATATTAGTTTTCTTATACAGTACCCGTGAGAGTGAATTCCAGCAGGCCTGGAATTAGCCTGAGTGGCTTTCCTAAAGTTCCAGCACAGAACTGACTCCCAGTCAAGGCGTGAAGCACACTGATTAATAGTGCTGCTTTGTAACCCTGGGTCCTGGGAGTTTGGGGCTGGTTTGTAGCTGCCTGGAAGCATTGTTTATTGATAATGGTGAGATTTATGGTTTGCACCTGGTTGGTCTCTGCTGTTGAGGCTGCTTATGTAACAAGATGGTTCCTACACAACCAGCAAATGGAAACATTTCCAGCAGACTCTAATTTGGGCTCACTGTTTCCAGGGTATTAGTGACTATGCTGGTGGTTCCTGATCTGAGCAAGTGCATTCTGTTATGGCCCTTAGAGACAAGAGGACCACAGGAGCTGGTACCCGGCCTTGCCCGTCTCACATTCCCTTAGGATGCACATCCCTCCTTTCATACTTTTGCTGTGCCGTCTCCTTTTTCTGTAATAAACTGTAGATTTGTAAGCGTTTTTATCTGGGTCCTGTGAGTCTTCCTTAACAATGGAACAATTAGAAATGTTGACCTGTTAGTGTAGCACCACAGTCCTGAGAGGTAGAGTTGACAGAGGGCTCAGAGAAGTTAAGGGACCAGCCTAAGGTAACACAGTCAAGTAGGAGCAAAGCTCAAAGTGGCTCTTGTTCCAAATCCCTTGCTCCTTTCACAATACTTGTCTGATTTCTTTCACTACCATTTTGATTTGTTAACAGAGAGGATGAACACCTATTTACAGTGCTGCTCTGTGTACTGAAAGCAGAGCTAGAAGTTACAGCAGCTGCATCCCCGGAGAGGGAAGGTGGCATTGCCCCACACTTCCTGACATACACCATCACCTTTGATGTCAGAGACCCAGGGCGGCCAGCTTCCTCCCCTGGAACAGAGGCTGTGGAAGCCTTCATTATTCCAACACAGGCTCCAGGGAGGGGCCTCGCTGGTCCATTTCTGGCAAGGCAGGGATTTTGCTCATTTGGAAACAAGCGGTCCATCGTTCATCCAGATCTCCATCCCGAGCTGGATGTTTTGGTGGGCTCAGTGACTGAGAATCAATCCTTTTCTGTGCTTTTTCTTTTTCAAAATTTATCCTTCAAGCAATTCTCATTTGCTTCTTAATTAAGATGCATGTGTAAGTCAAATTCCATTAAAGCCTCTTTCTTGCTCTCCAGCGCTCAGACCACCAGAGAAAATTGGGAACACCGGCCTCAGAAGGCATGTGTCTTAGGGAGAGCTGGCCCTGGCTCCTAACCTTCTCTCCGAGTAGCCACTGATTAGCTGGGTAGCTGTGGACACATCCCTTAAACTTATCTGTGGAATGAGTGAATTGAGTATTTGGTGAATTTTGTATCTTATTAATTGCTCTATTTTTAGGGTGTGGACTCTAGCCACTAATTGTTATTATTATTACTATTGCTATTAATACTTGACTACTACTTTTCATAGCAAGATAGTGGAAGGAACAGGGTGTTGGACTAAGAGTCAGGAGATCCCAGATTAGCCACCTTTATCATCAGTGTTCCTGGAACCTCTACCTCAAAGCTTTTAGGACCCTGAAACCCTGGCACACACGACCTTTTTCCTAGGAATAGAGGCCACCAGGTGAAGAGCAGAGCATCTCTAGCACAAATGTCAGCAGAAAGGGCATATTCAAGGACATAGTCTGGCTTTATCCATACATGGAAGGGGCAGGTCCCAACGCAAAGTGCTTGAGGGCCACTGGATATATGCATTTCTCCCTCCCAAATATCTCCCTCACTGCCATTTGAAACACGACCATTCAAGGAAGACTACGACAAGCCCTCTCAGTGTAAGGAGGCAGCACCGAGTTGTGCAAAGGAGCCCTATCCTGGGAGTCAGATGCCTTGGCTTGGAAGGCTGGTTCTTCCATAAAACTAGCCTCTCAAACTGAGGGCTTATTAAAGTTATAATTAACGCAACAAGATCCATGGATACACTCCCAGCAAACTAGGAGCTATAAGTTGGGGATATTTGGGGAGCATGGCTCTCCAGGAGACACAGGAAGGTTGGTGGCCTTGGTGATCTGCCTATTCAGGGCAGGGCTATGGAAAGCCCTGAGGAGGGCTTAGCAAGCCTCTTGTACCCGAGCCCATGTCAAGCTAGTACTCCAGCACAGTTCCTTATGTTGTTCCCAAAACAGCCTCTAACAGACCACATCACCCAAATCTATCATCTGGGCTGAGAGTCCAATCTCCTACCAGCCCCCTTCGCCATCTTGCTATGCTGTCACCAGGTCACAGAATAACCATGATGCATCCCACGAGCATGGTCACCTGACAAGCATGGAGCGACAGACTATTTGTAGTAGGGACGTGCAGTCTGTTATCTTCAGACCCAGATGCCATGAGCCAGGGCCGCCCAGGGGTATAGTCTCAGGTGTGTGAATTGGCAGTGGCAATACCTACATGAGAGGTTGGTGGTTGGAGCTGATGGGATCAGGCTCAGTGAGCGCAGGGCCTGGTGAGTAGGTGCGCAGTGAAGGCGGGTGGTTACTAGTTTCAATCTGTCCCTTTGGTCTGGGCACTACCTGACCCCAGGCTGTTCTTAAGAAAAACCTTGTGAGTTATGTCTTTGCTTAAATATGAGCAGAGGTCTCCTTCCTCTTGGCTGGACGGACACAAGTTATTGGGGTGAGTGGGAGAGGACAAGAGCAGGCCGGGGGTCCTGGGAGACAAATTGTCAACCATTCATTTTGTTCAAGACTGTCTTGCCCTGCTGAGCAGGGAGCGAACACTCTCATGAACAGCTCAGGGGCCTGGAGACTCCAGTTGTGGTAAAAGAGGGCGTGAGGGAATCATACCCACAAAACCCATCTCACCATAGCACCTGATTATTTTGTCCATTTTGAAAAGCTATTTAGGAGAACTTTTTTGCCTCTAAATACTCCAGGCATACTATTTTGCTCCTGGTTTTTGTCACCAGAATGCTATAATAGTAAAGTCAATTTTAATAGATTAAAACAAATCCATTTATATTCACATCACCCTAAACCTCAGCTGTTTTGATATTTCTGAGTCCTTGTACAGTCCTTGTCCATAAAACTGGATAATTCTGCCAGCAGAAATAACTTATGCATAATGCATTTTAGTCTCCAAACGAAATCAGATGATTTTAGATTTGGGAAAGCTTGCATCAATGAGTGTGCTTATATTTCAATTTTCCCTGCATTTCCATCTACACCTCGGCATCCCCTCCCCTAAGTTTGAAATAAAAACATTCCCTTACAAAAGCCAACATTTTCCCATAGCTTGTTTGTTTCTAGAAATTTTACAGCTTTCAGTAGGACAGATCCTCCCACTGTCACCCTTACCTCTTCCCCTTTCAGGTGGTTTGTCCCCAAGGGCTAACAGTGGCCAAGGTTGCAAGCTGGCTGAGAAGCAGGACCCCAATAACAATTCTGGCTTTGTTACTTAGGATTCACCATGTGTCCTTCAGCTCAGCTTCCTCATCTGTAAAATGGTGACATTAATATTTATCCAAGAGGAGTTCTGAGGAGTAAGTGAGAGGAAGTGTTTTACATGATGCACTTATTTGGAAGCTTGGATAAGTGGTGATTGTGTTAGCTTCCTCGGGCTGTTGTAACAACCACACACTGAATGGCTAGAAACAACAGAAATGTCTTTTTCCACAGTTCAGTAGACCCGAAGCCTGAAATCAGGGTGTTGACAGGGTTAGTTCCTTCTAGAGGCTCTGAAGGAGAATCTGCTCCATGCTTACTTCCTGGCTTCTGGGGATTGTCTGCCCTGCCTTGGCGTGTAGCTACATCACTTCGCTTTCTGCCTCTGTTGTAACATGGGCTTTCTTCCTTCTGTGTGTGTCTGTGTCCTGCCCTGTTCTTATAAGGACACCAGTCATTGGATTTAGGGTCCACCCTAATCCAGCACAACCTCCTCTTAACCAATTACATCTGCAAAGACTCTATGTCCAGATAAGAGACATTCTGAGGTTCTGGGTGGACCTGAGTTTTGGGGGTGTGGGGGGACCCTATTTGGCTCCTATAGGAGCTGTTATTATGGAAGCATGAAGAACATGGCCCACTGCTCTCCTCTGTGCTGGCAAAGGCTTGCAGAGTGTCAAGGGGACCTGAGACTGTCCCAAGGCTTTCCTGTAAGAAATACGTTTGCTCTTAAACTGTAAAATTCCCTGTCTGTCTTGCAGCCCAAGGTACTTCATGGGCCTGCCCTGAGTCTCTCACTTCCTTCTCTGTGAAACGGGAGTTACTCGATCCACTACCATGCCCTGATCCACCCCCTCCAGGACGCCCACAGCATCCAGTGATAACAAATCACTGTCCCTGAGATTACTTAGGGATGTGAGGAGAGCTCCCATGATTTTGGAGCTCTACAGGCACGCACCCTCCATGTCTGATGACCTCTGAGTCAAACACTGACACAGAGAAGGGAAATAAATTCTTGTTGACTCCCTGGCCCTTGTAAGACAGAGGATGCCATGGCCAGACTGGGTCCTTCAAGTGGACGCATACCTTCTAAGGCATCATGTTTCTCACTCCCTGGTTTCTAGGAGAAACCAGAAAGGAAGCAGAGAGACATGAGAAAAACAGCAGCTTTATTTCCAGAATGACTGAAGCAGATTTCATGGTCATTTGGTGATGGTGGTTTTCTTGGCTCTGAGAAGATCTTGCATTCCCGTTTCCAGCACTTGGCAGGAATCTTCATTCTTGGGGAGTGACTGGGTTCCATCGTTGCCGTGAGCTATGATTTGAAGCCACAGACCAAGCTATTAAATCCTTGTTTCCAGCACAAGGCTTTGTGCTCATGTCATTTTGCATCCTTTTTAAATCCACAGGAGGACAGGCACTCCAACTAATCCACTTACCTGCTACCAGCAACGTGGCAGAGAATTCTCCACCCAAGACTTCAGTGCACAAGTTTTCTGTGAATTTATCAGCATCACTGTCACCTGTGATCCCAGGGTTTCCCCTGATAATCAACTCAAGTCCTCTCACTGAAGCCTTCAGGGTGAACTGGCTGTCGGGCACCAACTTTGAGGTAAGCATCACCTGACTCCCATTGGGAGTTTTGCTCACAAAGAGGGGTCCTGAAGATGGAGTGGATGGGGTTCTAGATAAGTGATCCCTCCTTATCTCCCTGGTTTCATCTCTCCCCTCTTGTAAGATCCAGAAGTCCTGTTTGAGGCATCCTAGTGCCCTCTGTGCTAGACGCCCCTGTAGCTCTTGGGCCTTTTTCCTCCATTTAATCCAGTCCAAATAAACATAAAAATATGCTCAATTTATTACAAATAAAAGGCTTGTTTCTTATTGGCAGCCACTCTCACAGGGTAACAGGTGTTAGGCATGCCGACAGTAACTGAGTTCTCTGGATGGGATAGTTTGTGTAATGATCTCCTTCAAAGCCAGACCCTGATGAACTTGGGTCTGGTGATTCTGCTTTTCCATGATTCTGTGATTTTTCAAAAGGAAATCTACCAGGAGACATTTCACATGGAAGAACACATCCCTAATTAAAATAGAAGCTGAATGTCCAGCCCTACTGTGCGAATGTTTCCTCTTGGACAATTCAGACCCAGTCTTTCACATGCCACCACTGTTCTAGTTTCTGGTTTGTTGTCTTTTGGGTCTTTTCCAAAGTTGTCACTTCTCCTTGGGCAGGACAAACCTGCTGATCGCATATTTTCCACTAGTCGCCTCCGACGCCTCTAAGGTTGTCTGCAGGTTATAGGTGTCTGGACCTACTGGTCCTGCAGAATCCCCCACACCTACCCCTTTCCTCAGCCATCATAGGGACCTCCTCCAGTCATCATCAGCCCTGCCAATGGTCCCACCTGCCATTGCCCTGGGGTCTTGGTGGGACCCAGTGGGTCTGCTTGGCCTAGGCTCTTGTGTGCTCAGCGAGCTGTCCCAGCCCTGGCGCCCTCCCGCACCACAGCTTGCAGCTGCCTGGGACTTGTGTTAGTTAGTACCAGGATGGGCCACAGGTTCACACGTCCTGAAGCTGTTCTTAAGAACGGCTGCCTCTCCCTAGAAATTACCCAATATTGTTAACCATCCCCTCCAAGAAGATCCTATTCTCCAACCCAAACTGCTCACATGGGCTGTTCTTACAGAACAGTGCCACTGACAATGCCATCTCTGTGGCAGGACCCAGCTCCTCCTCAACACTCTGTACGATGACCAGTCTACTGATGAGGTTTTGGGGTCTCTGGCCCCAAGGTCTGGTCACTGTTGGCCCTGGGATTCAAGGCTTTCTGAGGGTGACTTCCAATCTATCAGAGGTCAGGCCGCCCTGCTTTCAGACACAGCCACTGAGGTTAGGAGGATTAATGATGGTGATGGTGATGGCAACTCACTTTTACAGAACATTTACCATATGCCAGGAACTCCCCTAAACATTTTGTGAATTCATTCACTTAATCCTTGTAACCATGCTAGAAATTGGTACGCTGTTATTATATGCATGTCAAAGGTGGGGAAACCGAGGCACAGAGAGGTTGAGCAACTTGCCCAAGTTCACACGGCTAAGCGGTAGCAGACTTGATATTTGAGATCAGACAAGCTGGCCCCAAGACCCCTTGCTGGTCGCCCCCAAACTGTGCTGGCTCGCTGCTGCCCAGCAAGAGAGGTGTCAGAGCCTCATCCAGCAGCCCATGTGGCTAATTACTGGGGTTGCCTCCTGGAGCAGCACCAAGAAGGAAGGCTC